GCGCACATGACCAATGAGGGCACGAGATAAGTTTGTGCACAGATGGAAGGCTGACAGGCAGGTTGGCCATCCTGTTATTTTAGCCGGGCCGGCTAAAATGATTGGTCGTGCTTTTTAGAGTACTAAGGCTTCCACAGATGATATTTCTTTATGGATTTAAGCACTTAAGATATTCATTGCTATCGGGATGTTAAGAGCATTCCATGGAAAATAACAAAAAGTGTATCTCGAGCCGGTTTCTCAAACTTACCTACCCCACCTTTAACTGGAGAAAACAACTAACAAATTCACCGTTTTGAATGAAGGTGTATTTTTCACTTGCATTACATTGTGAATATGTGTGTCTCTTTTGTCATGCATGATGGTAAACTCATTATCTTTGGATATTGAAATGTTGTTCTGTTGGTTTGAGGAAATAACAACATGAATTTCCCGTATTTTCCTGATATGTTGCAGACAACACAATTATTCCGGCCATTTAAATATAATATATTATAATAATAACTTGTTGCAGTCCTAAATATATCTTTGAGAAGCACATGCCCAAATTAAATTCACATGTCTAAATCTGCACATCTTTGTTGCAACATGCATAGCTTTTTTACATTTGTTTGGGGACTGACTGACGAACACTGACTTACCAGCAGCTGGACATGTGAGTCAAAGCTTATACTAAAACAAAACAATTCATCAGACTCCTTTACAAATGCCACATGGTTGATTTTCCTGGCTTGGACATCATGAATTGTTTACTCAGTTACAGTATCACAAACATGCAAGTGAAAACTAAAATGAGCAAATGATGGGTTGCCATAGTGACAAAGCACCAAATGTTTTCACAACATTTGCAGATGATGTGATGCTGCCTGTCCGAGTGAGAAATTGAACAAAAAACAAAGACAATGCTGCAGTTTTCTTCGACCACAGATTGAAGGATAAACAGATGATGATGATAATGGACATGTGGTGATACATTGTGTGATGATATTGGAGCTCAACCTGGAACTAACATTTCTGAGGCTGTGAATCCATATACATCATTCAGTGACAAATTGTTTTTATGCATTTGGATAGAACAGAGTTACTAAGTGAGGAATTGAACAAGACCTGAGCCAAAGTCACTGCCACTGATACTCCAGTAACTGATGCTCACCGTGTTCATTGATTCAGCCCTGGCTGGTTCCTGTAGTTCAGCCCGAAGTGTTTCTGTTTTGACCCCCAATGATGCAGTTCAGCAACCTTTAAACTATCTGCCCGCCTGAAGTAATAAAATCAACATCAATCCAACATGGTGCTGCTGTGGTGGTGTATGGTGTACTGATTCTTATCATATGCCTGTGGGGAGATAATGTGCTGCTCAGCTATAAACCAACCTTACCTTGTCTGCAGGCCACATTTTGGCCTCTGTCGTTGCTCAAAAACTGACATTCATAGAAAAATCTGGTCTCGTTTTTATAGCAGATTTAATTCATATCAAATAGGCTATGCTCCAGGAAATGTGGGCATGATAGGAGATGAATAAATCCACTTTACCTTTGCCACCATCTTGCCTGCCTGTAATCAATGTTTGACATCTGGTTAAATACTGTTCAAAGACTTGCAAAAGTAGATTTGTAATCTGTGTATTTATTGTATTATTCTGTCCACATCCTTACAATTTGAGTGGTGGGGAATCTACAGTAAACTTCCTCCCTCCTTCCCCAATTTCAGTTGCTTTCAGCGAGTGTGTTCTCAGAAACTCAGTGGTCCCAGCAGACCTCCGGGCTGTGTGACGTTGGCTTGGCAGTAGTCTGTGTCTGTTCGACCCCCCCGAGGCTACACGGGAAGCTTTCAAAGGTTTCCTCCCTCCTGCCTGCTCCCCTCCTCAGACTTTTCTGGAAAACATCTGCTGCTGGTTTTTTGCCATAATGATAATGATAATTATCATACAGAAATACAGTTATTCAAATAGTTTGATAGATTTCAATGAACAGGAACGTCGATAATAATGTTGTCATTAATTGGCACTCGGCAATTAACATTGTAATGTAACACCGCCTTTCCATTGTACCAGATCATAATTACATGGCTCATTGATGTATTGACACTGACTGAGCGTCCTGATCACTTCCTGTACATCCAGACAGCAATAAATACAAAGCCATGGGGGCATGATGTTTGCCAAAATGTAATTGATCGACTCAGAAAAACTGATGTTAGCCTCTATTGCTCCTGCAACACCTTCTGCGCAATTGTTATAATGCAGTGGATTAAGGGAGAGTATGAATACTTTAAACTCTGCATTGTCATCCATTTTACTTTAAAATATTTTTAAATTACAGGTTTAGTGTAATATCTGCCACCTACAGCATTGTCTGCTACTTGATAGTGTATGGCTAATTATGGGTGCTTCTGGGTTTTTTAGATAAACGGGTACGGAGAAATAGTGATGACTCACGCGAAGGAAAAGTAATTGAGTATTGTTGCAAAATTACAGACAAGCAATTAATTTTTTCTTCATTCACTTCCAGTGTAAATGGGAGTATGACGGGACATTAATTAAGTATTAGGTAACAAATGTGGCACTTTAGCAGACAGTGTTCGGCGGTGCTGTTACACATTGAGCCAGTGTTTGTGTTGTTGCGTGCTGCCAGCTCTCTCAGGCTGAACATCATCTCCCCCCCCCCCCCCCACTGAAGAATGACTTCAGTGTTTGCTACAGCTGCAGCCGAACCCAAAGACTCGTTCTCTGGGCGCACATCATCTCTGCTGAGTCTCAGCACAGACATGCTGGAGCTGTGTTTGTGTGGGAGACACGCTGAAAAACAATCCCTCATCTTAGAGACATTGCGTCAGTAGACCAGGGTATACAGGAAGTTATGATTGGTTACTTGATGAGGCTATAAGTCTTGTTTTCCTATTCATTTTTATTGTAGTTCATCAAAGTGTTTGTAACAAACTTTTAGATCATGAAAAATGTGTCCCCCAAATATTTGTAATGGCCAGTCATCAACTATCTCCAAACGTTTAAAGTAAAGCTAGTTTCCTCCCCTCAATATTTAGTGTTTAATTGAGTCCAAAACATAGTGGATGGCTACTCTTGCTTGATATTTGATTACATGTCAACAAGCATCATTGAACACAACAGATGTGCTCACAGCTCAGAAGCAAAGGCCAATGCAAGACTGATCACTTGCAGGTCTACTACACACATACAAAACTGCTCAAAAGACACCATCACTCAGACACAGCCTAAATATGTTTTGGTCAAAAATATATGTCTGGCTGAGCTTTGCCCTTCTTTTGATAAAGCTGCTAACACACTAAGACATTGTTTATACTTGGGGTTGAAATACAGTATATTATGTGGATTTGGGCATTTTATCTGTAAAGTACATGTTATTAGAGGTGTAAGGAAATATCAATAGGCTATACTATCACATTGTAATATGTTTTGCTTACTGTACACTTTTATTTTTAAGCTACCCAGCTGCCAATTTAGGCTGATTTATTAACCAAGAGGTTCTGATTATATTTAAACTACAATTCATGAAAAACAGATGCTACTGATGTTTGTTTAGCCCTTCTTTTGTATTCTTGTTCAGTTGGAAAAACTAGGTTAGCATTACAGCGGCAGAAGTGTCACGGAAAAGATCAGGGTGGTGCTGATAGATTCACAATGGCTGTTCTTTGTTTTTCTCTTCTCAACTTAAAGAGGACAAAGATAATGGAGGCAGGAAAATGAAAGTAGTGATGGAGAGGGATGTGTGAGAGAGCAGGAGGGGGAGGGGGATGAACAAGTGGAAGAAAGGAATATAAATCCATGTTTGTGAATAATTGACCAAGAAGAATATTATGAGACAAAATGATGTTCTATATTTTTTTGATTAGTGCAAGGACATTTCCTGTCAACACCGAAACAACGTTTAATCACTTTGATCTGTTTCACACTGCATTAATTACGCATTTGCATTTTTGCAAAAACATTACTTCACACTTCACAGCAATACATGTTGGTTTTAACATTCGTCTCAATTCACAGATTCAACTCACAAGAGGGGTCGCTTTGCCATTTTTTTTGTATCTAATACTGCAACCTTGATTATCTTCAGACACCAATCCAATTCCTTCTTTTTATCTCTCTTTAACAATTACTGTAAACTAGCTAACCTAACCTAACATCTCATGCTTAAGCTGTGGAACATATTCTACCCCTATTAAAGAAAGAATCATGGCATTCCTCAGTGATGCAATACTGCTGCTTCTTTATATTAAAACGTTGTCATAGACAGCACTTTTAGTTTACCGCCACTGAAATCCTATCCAGTGGATGAATCCAGTATTGGACCTATACCGATAAACTGGATTGTGTCGCTGCAAACCCAACACAAGTGTACTCAGCGGGACATTCAGCCTAACAGCAGTAGTACTTTCTCATTCCATTGACCTTTATTGCACCATGCAGTATTGCAGCCATGCTTGTTATTCACAGATGTCTGTGTCACAGCATGGATCCATTATATGTTGGCTCTGCGGTGTGCCATGATGTAAATGCCACCGAGTGATTAGTGCTGCGCTGAGGAGAGAGCCATGAGATAACTGCTGTTCAGTCAATATAGGTCACTGAGCTCCAGGATTCATGTCAGCACCTTAAAGCTGTCATGTCTTTTTGTCCCGCCATTAGTGCTGAGACAGATAATGTAAATGCCAATGGTCCTTCAGTGTACATTTCCTCTGATCTACATTGTTGAAAAAGGTGCTAACAATGGATGTGTCTGCCTCACATGCACTACACTGCCAATCGATCACACTAACACAGACCATTTTTCTTCGCTTCTCCACAGGATTTATTATCCACCCGCAGGCTGGCCAGAGTCCCCCAGCAGCAGAGCCGGAGCAGGGAGCTGTCCTCGGTGCTGAATTCACCAGAAACAGAAATCCACATCGCACCCTCATGTGCCTGGGTTGCTCCTGATAGCTCCCATTCCTAGCAGCAACTGACCACCTCCTCCACTTCCAAGATGGAAGACGACGGGCGTTACAGAGACGGCCGCTCAGACTTTGTCCGCGGCGCCAAGGACATCGCCAAAGTGGCCAAGAAACAGGTCGGCAAGAAGATGGGGCGCGGCGCGGACAAAGTGGCCGACGAGTACACCAAGCGCTCCTATAAACGCTTTGAGGAGGAAGACGATGACGACGACTACGGCGGCATGCCGGCAAGCAACGACGACGGATACCATCGCAATGACAGCCGGGCCAATGACGATGAAGGTCACAGCGACTCCACTGAAGGTCACGACGAGGACGATGAGATCTACGAAGGGGAGTACCAGGGCATCCCCAGAGCCGAGTCGGGGAAGGCGGGCGGCGTGGACGGCGTGGAGGCCGCCCAGGCGCAGTTCAGGGATCTGTCGGCCTACGAGGCGGAGAGGAGGAAGGACCAGGAGGAGCTGGCCGAGCAGTACGAGACCATCCTGCAGGAGTGCGGCCATGGGAAGTTCCAGTGGACGCTTTACTTCGCACTGGGCCTGGCGCTGATGGCGGACGGCGTGGAGATCTTCGTGGTCGGCTTCGTGCTGCCCAGCGCAGAGAAGGACATGTGTCTGTCTGAGCCCAACAAGGGCATGCTGGGTAAGATTCAAGATGTATTTATTGTCATTTGTACATAGCTACAGTGTAGATATGTCAATGAAAATCTCTGGTCACAGGCTCCTCCAACAGTGCAACACAATGAAACAGATAAATATAAGCTTTCCAGATATCTTTATTCTAGCGTTAATAAGATACTTCTATAAAATGCATTTAACTAAACATGGCAGGAGGGATTACACTGGGAAACTCAACTTGTTTTGACACTTTTACAAAATCACAGGAGGCCAGGGGCCAGATAACAAAAATAAAAATGATGAGATAAAATGAATACACATTAAAAGGCCCATAACTCATCGGTCTTTATTCTTAATCTAACTAATGTAACTTGACTGCATTTAATAGTTGCAACTTCCTTTTAGTTGAGCAATCAGAATGATTCATAAGCATTACGATTTTGTGGGTGTTTTAGCCTTCTCTAAAATGTGTAAAACAGTGCTTCTCAAACTTTTTTCAGTAATGTACCCCCTTTGAAACATTTTCTCAGCCAAGTACCCCCTGACCGACCCCGAACATTTTTGATCGAAAAAGCCTATACAAATAATTCCAATATAGTGATGTTCCCTCAGTCTGTGATGTATTAACTTCTTCATGCGTGCATTACAACAAACTAAGGATATTTTCATTGTATGCATGAAAAAAATAACATAACGAAAACAAATGTAAACTGATTTTTCCAAGGAGTTTTTCAACTGACGTAATATCTGTTTAACAAACCAATGAACAAAATGATATATTGACATGTTTATATGAGGACCCCCTTGGTGGTTCTAGGAATATTTTATATACAATTGTGTTTTCTATTTAACTTATTGTACTAAGATTATTTTTGTAATCATGCATGGTATTTTTTTAATTAACTTTTTTTCGTTTTTTTAAATCTCACGTACCCCCTGCAGTACCCCAACGTACCCCTAGGGGTCCGTGTACCCCCATTTGAGAATCACTGTGTTAAAGGACAGCAGGCTGGATTTGAACCTGCGTCCTCCGGGACTGAGCCAATGGGCTCCAACTTTAATGTTTGTATTCAAATGTGAAACATGGTGGCAGGCCTGTCTGTAAATGGAGTATCACTGTATTAGGCATAAACATATGCTAGCTTTAGAGTACAACTTGTGCTCTGTCCACTGAGCCACCCGTCTACTGTCTTCTGTGCCCTTTCTCTGTTTATTTTCATCTTCGTGCCTCCTTTGGGAGTTTATGCCACCGCTTCACATTTTATCTCCATCTTCTCTTAGCGGTAACCTCTGGCGTTTATCCCCCAGTAATTGGTTTTCTTCTGCCTCGTTGGCAGAAGAACTACAGCTATTTAAGATTCAACTGCCCGTGCAGAATTGTAATCGAACTCACAGCCTCTCACTTCTCTGCTTCAGTGGGTGTGTGTGTGTTTCAGGTTGTAAAGGTGATCGTGGGCACAGTTTCTTTTTTTCTAAAATGCACATGTTCAATTTGTTTATCCCTAATAGTATATATGGTGTAAATGTGTGGCTTTGCCCACTGCACAGCATACAGACAAACACCAAATACCTTGTGATAGTTTCCTTTCTTGTTGTAAAAGATTTCACATCTGGAATGAATTAGATTTGAGTTGGTTATGTGCTTCAGAGAGCCATGTATGGATACATCTTACATGCTCTTGTAATTACTCTGTTGCTGCCTGGTCTTCTTTATCTGGAATCTAGACTGATTATGATTTTAAGAGATTTAAAATTGAAGTTTCTTCAACACTTTGATAAAGAATAATTTGTTGATACATAGCGCAATGTTTATTTCCAGCTCTTGCACATATCAGTGAGGTGAGATATGTGCGTTTTCCTGCCTGACCTTTGTATCACTGTGCAGTGTTCTCTCTGCATAAGACACACACACACACACACACACACACACACACACACACACACACACACACACACACACACACACACACACACACACACACACACACACACACACACACACACACACACACACACACACACACACACACACACACACACACGGCATTCATCCATGCCTTTAATCAGTTACTGGGTTGTGTGATTTTCCCATAGAGCATAGACAGCACACGGTATGAATTGCAGTGCTGACATCTAGAGTGACCAGCCTGTGTGTCTGTCTAGTACTATATATCAACATAAAAATGTGCATGTGTGTCATCCTACTCCTGATGTGTGTGTCTGTGCATTTCAGTGGTGGGGGAAAAGCATCCGCATGATAAATACGTGAGGAAAGGTCTTGCAGTAAAGGTCTGTTAAGAAAGGAATAAATGCAGAAAGCAAAGAAATAAATAGAATGATAATGTTCCTGCAGCCCCCAGATTAAACAGTGTTCTAAGAAGTACACTGAACAAAAATATAAATGCAACACTTTTGTTTTTGCTCCCATTTTTCATGAGATGAACTCAAAGATCTAAAACATTTTCTATATACACAAAATAACCATTTCTCTCAAATATTGTTCACAAATCTGACGAACCGGAGTCAGGTCGAGACCCCGATGAGGACGACGAGCTTCCCTGAGACGGTTTCTGACAGTTTGTGCAGAAATTCTTTGGTTATGCAAACCGATTGTTGCAGCAGCTGTCCGAGTGGCTGGTCTCAGACGATCTTGGAGGTGAACATGCTGGATGTGGAGGTCCTGGGCTGGTGTGGTTACACGTGGTCTGCGGTTGTGAGGCCGGTTGGATGTACTGCCAAATTCTCTGAAACGCCTTTGGAGACGGCTTATGGTAGAGAAATGAACATTCAATTCACGGGCAACAGCTCTGGTGGACATTCCTGCTGTCAGCATGCCAATTGCACGCTCCCTCAAAACTTGCGACATTTGTGGCGGTGTGATAAAACTGCACGTTTCAGAGTGGCCTTTTATTGTGGCCAGCCTAAGGCACACCTGTGCAATAATCATGCTGTCTAATCAGCATCTTGATATGCCACACCTGTGAGGTGGGATGGATTATCTCGGCAAAGGAGAAGTGCTCACTATCACAGATTTTTTCAGATTTGTGAACAATATTTGAGAGAAATGGTTATTTAGTGTATATAGAAAATGTTTTAGATCTTTGAGTTCACCTCATGAAAAATGGGAGCAAAAACAAAAGTGTTGCATTTATATTGTTGTTCAGTGTATATATCCTTGTGATGTTGTTTTGTTTTAACAATCAGGCCCTAAATAATACTTAATGAAAACAGGCTCAAATATGTACCTACATTATTTTAAGTAAATATACTGAGATGCTTCTAACATTTAATCCTCCTCTCTCTCGATTGTCTCCGATTCCCTCCCCTCTCCCTGTTACGCAACAAGCCTGACTCATGCTAGAGAGCCTCCTTTGCTCATGCCTCTCTGCATCCCATGAGTCCTAAGAGGCTTCTCAATACTCAAATTTCCCCTCCTCGACTCCCCTCCTCGGTTCCCCTCCTCGAGACTTAGACCCGCCCACAGGAGATGCGAGCGGAGGACCGAGGAGAGAGGAGGGGAAGCAGCAGACGTTTAAAGAAATGAGAACTCCTCTCCTCTGAGCGGTCATTTTAAAGAGACGTCCGTTCATTATTACGTGGCAACAGCTGCATCAGCTGTCGAGTGTTTTGTCATAGCGCTGTATCTCTGTTAGATCAGCTGAACATTGTTCCCCCACATATTTACTTTGAATTCATTGAGAGTGCGGTATAATGAGACAATAACAGGCTACAGATGCGGACACACACACACAAATATATTTATATAAATATATACAATTTAAAGTATGAGAGCACTCTCATAATAACGTAACACAATCAGAGACTGGATATATCCCCCCCTCTCTCTGGTCGCTGAAATGGGGAATTGAAATTACGGGCCAAAAGTTGTATTTACAAGTAGGCCTATTAAAAGTAAGCAGAGGACACCAAACTAACTGAGACCCGTCTGTCCGCCGCATTTACGCACTGTACAACACACAAATACACACTGTACACACACCTACAGCTCCTAAAGTATAAACCGTTGTGTATTGTATTATGTGAAGCAATGGTCTTAGAAAAATATCGACTCTTTGTTTGTAGATATCTACTAAACTAAAGCAAATAAAGAGAGTAGGCCTGTTATACTGAGTGATATATATTATACACACTGCTCTCTTTCTGCACGGACCTCACAGCTGTTCTCTCTGGAAACATCGCGACGCGATGAAAGCAGTTTCTAAAATAATATCCAGGGGATGCATGCATAGCTGTCATTGGCTGAGATAAGTCCGGCCGTGCGTCACGCCTCCACCGTTCCCGGAAATGCATCCGTGGAGGAGCCGTGGAGGAACCATCAGTGTATCCTCGGTTATAGCTCCTCCAGAGAGCCTCCTCGACGCTCGATGCTCGGTCCTCGGTGTGCATTTAGAGAAACGAGACGTCCTTCAAAATGGCGCGCTGAAATTCATTTCCGGGTCACTACCGGAGGACCGAGAACCGAGGAGTCGAGGAGGGGACATTTGAGTATTGAGAAGCCTCTCTAGTGTCCTCTCCCCCAACCCCCATCCTCACCCTCTTCTTCTCCACACGGTCCAAACGGAGCTTCTTCTGCCAGCCAATCATGTATAATGTGTGTGTGTGTGTGTGTGTGTGTGTCTACTGTATCGTGTGTGACAGAAAGCGCCTGCACATGTGTGAGGGGTAATCGCCTGCAAAATATGAACTCCCTTGCAGCAGAAAGATTTCAGATGTACCCAGAGAGAAGGATTCAGAGGGAACACATCACAGCTAGTTAGGATAACATTTTGTTTTGACTTTGTTAGATATGTTGTTGTACATATCCTTGATCCCATATTCATTTTATGTTTCCAATAGCACAGAGATATGGAAATGGCAAGGCAGAGTGAGGCTCTGAAATGGCAGCAGTGATGCCTGTGGTGCAGCGTTTCTGCACAGTGATGAGCAAGAGGAGACACTCTCACAGCAGCAGAGAAGCACAGAGGAGTTGTCATTGAATCGTCCTTGTTGGAGGCTGCAGAGGTT